TGCAGCTGAATCACTGGTCTCCAGAGGACACTTGTTCACAGAGTCCTGACAACCACATTCCTGATATAAAATCATACAGATAGAGAAAAAGAAAATGTCCCCAAATGGGGTAAGTAGCAGTTGCATACTCTCCCTTGCCCTCTTGGAACACACTATTTTTAAGTGGCAGTGAGCTAGTTGGTTTTGTTACCTGATTTAGGAGGAAAATAGGGAGGGTGCTGGGTATGTTAACATTATGCAGGCACCCTGAGGCTGTTCAGTAAGCAAATAACCAGCTTGCCTGCTGACTGTGGAAAGCTCACAGAGCTGGGGGTTGGTCACCCAGGAAAGATTTGTACTTTAGACCTTCACCTCTTGGTCACGGGTATAGACCAAACTGTGGGAACAAAGGACAGCAGTGCAGTCAACTTCCCATAGCCATTCCCATATACTTTCATAATCACTTAACTGGAGATATCTTTATCATAGCATATATAATGAGAAACATACCTGGGTCCACCTGTCTGGGAGCTCGACGGAGTCCATTGGTCCTTTTCTGTGTGGAAAAGTAAAACAAAACATCACAAAGACACGTTGGTAATATGGCATAAAACCATTACCACAATGATGCTCTGGCAATCAATGTTGCCTTAGTTCCAATTAAAAACATGTCTAAATGTGAACAAAATGTGGTTTTGATGTTTGTGTTTATAACCTAATATAAGTCCTCTGATAAGTTTTCCATTAGAATATCATTACATTTATAAGTCATTGACACAAACTGAAGCACATTTTTTTGCCTAATTTATGTAACCTGACCCAATATTTCTTAAAATCATGGGATTACAGGAACTAGGAAAACTAATATTTTTGGTTAGAAAATATTCCCAGCAAAGAACTATGAATAACATAGTCTTAAGCATATCTGTAAAACTAACTGAAGTATTTCTGGGCAGTGATAGACCAGTGACTGAAGGCACACAGTCTCAAACCAAAGCACTGGCTCCAGAAAATGCCTAAATGATAATGTGCTTTAACTACAGATGAATTGTATTTTTAAAATCAAAACACATGTAGCTCATGAAACACAAAATCAATTGCTATAGAAAAGGAATTCCTAAGGAAAACTGAACACGATGAAAGCAAGACAAGGGATTTTTAAATCTGAAAATGCATGACTACCATTTGATTTCACAAGCATTGAACTCTTTGCTATCATTAGCACAGTAATCTCACTAATGAAGGATTGATTTTTTAAATTTTTTTGTTAGTTACACAAGCAGATGTGAATCTGCATGTAGGATCACTGTGTTATTGAAATTTTCATGAGAAGAATTTTCTTTTTGTATGTGTTCAAATTCGCCATTGTGTACAGGGCCCATGTTTTCAGTCAGCAAATTCCTGGTTTTGAGAAACACACATGAGCTGTGGATTTTTCTCAGGTAGCTTTTCATGAGTCAAGTGATTAAAAGCTAAAATGGAGTTTGTTTGTTTGTTTGTTTGTTTGTTTGTTTTAACCTTCTCTGGGGCTTAAAGTCATATCGGAAAATTCTAGGAATCTTAAGTAAAGCAAATAAAACAAACTTTAAACATGTAATTCTTGTTTTACCCCAACTACTTTCAAAATGTATTTGTAGAAGACTAATAGGATTATTAGACTCTGCATGGGATCTTTGTTGAGCAAACAGGGTATCCATGCTAGTAAAACCATTATAAGGGATCACTGTGAGAGAAATTGTTGCCCTGAACTACTTGGTGGCCAAGACATAAAAAGGGAAGACACAAAAGTTATAGATCCATTTCTGAAAATATGGAAGAAAACTGATGTCAAAGACAAACTCTTTTTAAACCTAAATTTATATTTAAAATTTTTGATCTTTTTATAGAAAGGGCATCAAGCAACACAACTCATGATATATTCAACAGGGAAATACACAATGAGTCCTATCATGCCAGTATTTGCTTCCCATCAACAGTCACCTTCTTTTTGTTGTTGTTGTTGTTGTTGTTGTTGTTTTCGAGACAAGGTTTCTCTGTACAGCTTTGGAGCCTATCCTGGCACTTGCTTTGTAGACCAGGCTGGACTTGAACTTACAGAGATCCGCCTGCCTCTGCCTCCGGAGTGCAGTGCTAGGATTAAAAGCGTGCACCACCAACGCCTGGCAACAGTCACCTTCTTAACTGGTAACAAGCTGTCTTTTCCTGTTTTGCCTTGAGTTTAATATTAAAGTCGGTGACACAATGTGATTAATAACCATGTAGGAAAGGAGGTTAACTTCAAAGTCAAAGCATCTGTTTGTGTTTTGCCATCTTTCAGTAGAAACCACACTAGAGGTTTGTTGGGAAGGTGGTGAGGGCTCATTTGAAGCATCTGGGGTCATTAAGCGATTCCCTGGTGTTACTATCATTTTTAGCCTTGTGGAGTTGTGAAAGTTTAAACTCACACAAAGACTATGCTCTGGGAAACTATAGCTTCTATATTTTGTTGTGATTTTGAACCAAGATCTTGCTGTGCTGTTGAAGCTGATCTTGAATGAACCACACAAGAGCTCCTCCTGCCTCATCCTCCCCAGGAGCTGAGACAGCAGGCATGTGAGACTGCACCCGACTGCCCTACTGACTTCAGTGTTCTTCCTCCTGGAAAGTCATTTCCATCAGTCACCCTCAAAACAGAAACATTTCTGCAGGAAAAGCAGTCAGTAAAATAAACTATATATTAAAGAAATTCTGCACACAAAGGGAAACCCAATCTGTTAAAACAAAGCGCATCTGGAAAATCTGAGGTTAACTATACCATAAAAGCACCTCAAAAGCATTTTCTACTGTAAAAATCAAAAACATTTTTTAAATCTTTTTGAAATACAGAATTCAATGTCCCTGACTCTAATACAGCCCTCTCTCGCCTATTTTCTCAAAAGCCCAGAGAAGGCTGGGCAGACCTGGTCTGCAGGTAGAAGATGAGAAGGAAAGGACATAGTTGTCTTGCCTGGGAACTCTCAAGTCACAGGCCCAGGAGACAGGAGAGTCATGTGTCTGGAGTCTGGCTCTCCTTTGATCTACCCAGAGGGGTTGGGAAAGCAAACCTCATTTGTAAGCACTTGGATATTATTTCTTGCTTCACTGTCTTGTCTTATTTTTTGTTTTATTTTTTTAGTACTTTTACTGTCTAATACTCTCCTGGTCTTCTCCCTCTTTGGGGGAAACTAATTCTCTCTGTGGATTTTACCAACAACAGGAGGGAAAGCTTCCTTTGCTGGGTACAAGTTAGCTTTGGCTCTTCCACAGCAGGAATCGGTGTAAAGGGGCTGAGTAGACACGTGAGGATAAAACTGCTTTGTGTAGACAGAGGATATGTGATGACCCAGACGGTAGGTGAAGTGAACACCGAGGCACGGCTAGGCAAGCTATGGATGTGTGGCTATGGAAAAGCCCGACCTGCCTTCAGAATGAAGTGGACGTTTTCAAATGAAAACTCACGATCATACAATGACTGGCGCTAAAGGGAAAGCAGAAGAGAGTGCTGCCAGCATCAGAGAGGCAGAGGGGTTGCAAAAAAGGAGACAAAATAAAAACCACCTTCTTATTAGCCTCCGCTATAGTTTTCCTAAAATGATGCAGTTTCCACGCAAATCGGCTGGCCTCAGAGCATACTACAATCTTCTACCCAGACCAAGTGGAGGTTATTAGTGAAGTTTCACATTCAATAAAACCTGCACTTATTACATTCAAAAGTTAAGAAAATTATTACAACACCAACGCTACATTTTAAAATTTTTCAGCATGAAAATTAATTTCTTTTTATTAATAGGCTCACATGTAATTTTAAGGACATAAATGCGTCTGAGAGAATTATTTAATAGCATGTGAGAATGATTAACCACTTCTCATTAGCACGTTTTCCTTCTGCAAATACACCCACTTCACAGTACTTCCTTGAAATCAAATGAAATCATTTTCTTATGTAGAAAAAAGAATACACATGTCTAATAGCATAAATTTGGAGTAACTTTGAGTTGAAGCTTGCGGCTCCACATGGTATCTTTCCCAATAATCTAAGAGCATCGTGCTTAGGAAGGTCGTGTGCTACAGGGAGACTCCTGACACCCCTGATACAAACACTTCCCTCCCTGTCTAAGAAACGGTGACAGAAATTGTAGAGTAATTGGCATTAGCCTGCGATAAGTCCTTGTTCTATTAGTTTCAGAAAATATCGTTACCTTATTATATGGTCCTTGGTCTAAACTCTCGGTCCTAACACCCACCCAACTAGCACACTGAGCAGCTGCATCTGTCACGAGGTTCTTTGTACCACACCCTTGACATCCTGCATACAAAAGTTACACACGTACACAAAAGGAGAGGGACAGGGGCCTCTGAAGGCATTTCTCCACACTTTCCATATTTTCACCAACTATATCAATATTAGCTGATAAACGCATACCAATTATGCTGCTGCATTATTGGCCTGAAGGTGTTTTATTTTACTATACTTTTTGGTGCTGAAACTGGAGGCATATTCAAAGACAGATGATGGAAATGTGCTAATGAGTTCAGTAAACAGACTGCCATTCTTTCACTCAGAAATTCTCAGGTAACCTTATTATTATTATTTTTTTACTCATTTCACACCCATTTTATATTTAATTTCTTCTTCTAATTTTTAACTTAAATTTTTGCTTTGGTATTTTTACAGAGTCAGGTAAAACTTTTACTTTTGATTGACAGCCAAAATAATGGTGGTGTGGAATCTGTCATGTTTTATATTTTTTTCTGTTTTTGAATTGATTTCATTTTGAGAGTTATACTCAAGAACCACACACTTTTATTTTTTAACCCATTGGGAGTTAGGCTATGCTAAACCCAAAAGAAATGTTATCAGAGCTTGATTTGATGAGTGGGGCACAATACTGACCAAATTTGTGCTGAAGGGGAAACTACTAGAAATAGGAACCCATATTCTTAGAATTATGGCAGAATTCTCACAGGTTACCACTGGACAGTGAAACAACAGATCACAGAGGGTGATAGGTCTAGCATGGTCCTGAGCGGAGGGCCGCCTTTCCCATCACACAGAGCCCCTACTCCATTCAGTATTAGAGTAAAATATCCACCTTTATCCTCAGTGTAAGGCTTCCAGACAACAATAGTGAAAATTCCTGACTCCATTCATGTTTTGACAAGCACCTGGCAGCTCCCTCCATTTCTGTTTCACTCTATTCATCGGAAAAGGCACATTTAACAGTCTAAGAGCTCAAGCCTAAGTTAGCAAACACTTTGAAGTGCAAAGCTTACATAAAAAGTTGAAATGTCAGTCTTACCTCTGGTGGCTTGAATGGCCCTTGTTCTGAAACAAATGTAAAAATTGGCATCGTCAGTGCAGTCGTTTGGTTTGGTTAGCAGCCTTAGCTTGTCTTCTGCAGAGTGGCCAAACACTACCGCTTTGTTTTCTTAACTGATACCTGTAATATATTTCCAGGGTCCCTCGGGCTGGGCTAGTAATTGTTTTGCAACCTGGGTTCTCTTACCTTATTGGCTTGTCAGGAAAGTGACTCATACTTCTAAATGACTTGTGGGTTATGCTTAACTTTTTCAATTGTTTATTAAGCAATGTCAATCTAGCCTCATAAAACCCCTTTAAAACAAGGACTTGCACTAAATTTATATGCATGATCCCGAGTTGTGAGTCTTTCTTTCAACACATCTGACTTTAAGATCTAAACACACTGTTAAATGGTATTGTACAGACTAGTTCCTGCAGCTGCAAACTTAGCACAGCATGGCATTCCACTTGAGAAAACTTCCATTAAATGGCAATAATTCTTACTTTTTATCTTAGATAAAGTATACTCTGGTTTACAAATAGAAACTTTAAAAAAAGAAAAAGAAAAAGAAAAAACAAAAAAACACCTTAGTCAGGATTCAGTTACAAGTCTGTTTCATTTTTACTTCCCATATTTATAAACAGGCACAGCACCTTATTATTTTTTTAACTATAGTTTGGTTCCTAAAACTCATTCTTGAGACCTTTAGGTAAGTAACCTGGTTAAAGGGCCGATATCAGAGTAAGATCACACACTGCAGATGGAAAACTGATAGGTGTCTTTCTGCTTCATTTTCCTACATCTAGCAGCATCTAAACGCGTTCTAATTTCTCTAGACAGAGTAAACATCCCTCACCACTGTGAGCCCATGCCTCCATTTTCCCACCTGAAATAACCTCTAAGAAAGGACCTGAGGGAGAAAAAAGATGCAACCAAAGAAGACAGGATGAGAGCACAGGCAGGCCTAGATAGGGGCTCTGTAGGATATTTCCTTAAAAGGCTGGGAGAAGCCACATGGCCAGAGTTCACAGGGAAATCTCCTACCAGGACACCTGCCCTGCTAGAGCCAGCTGCTTACACAAGAATACTGCCTGGGGCAAGGAACAGGAGGTCCCTTTGTGGGCTTTCACTTTTTTCTTTTTCTTTCTTTCTTTTTTATTTTTTTGCCCCATTTTAAAGGACAACTCGAGATTAATGGGAAAGGAAGCTCCAGGAGCAGAAAGTCACCTTCTAGAGAAAAGCTAAGTCTGCTCCCTTTGTCACCTTCAAACCCCATCACCCTAGCTTCACAGATAACTGACTGCTTCCAATGAAGGTATCTTTGCTAGGCCTGAATTCAGCTTTTACAAAGGAATATTCCTGGACAGAAAGGCTAGCTCACTTCTTTCCTCCCCTATAGAAGCTTGCTTCAGGAGACAGAGTATCTAAGACCTGTGAAAGTCAGCTGGGGAGGGATGCTGTGAGAATTATCCTTTAGCCAGGCTCAGAATGCTGGTTAATTGAAATTGTGTTTTCTGGTGTTTGGTTTGCCCCCAAAGCCCCCACACCCACACGGTGTGTGTGTGTGTGTGTGTGTGTGTGTGTGTGTGTGTGTGTCTGTCTGTCTGTCTGTCTGTCTGTCTGTCAGTCTGTCTATGTGTGTTGGCCATGGTGGTGGTGGTATATCCATATGGATAATCTTACCTATGTGTGGTAATAGACTTTGAAACCTGATGTCTTCCTTCATTGCTTCTCTACTTTACTCTGATCAAGGGTCTCTCTCTGAACCTAGAACTTGCCATTGCAGAAAGGCAAGCTGACTCAGTCAGCTAGCAAGCTCCCAGGTTCCACTGGTCTCCATTTCTCTGTGCTGGAGTTACTGTGGTGCACCACCACACTCAGCTTTTATGTGTGTTCAGAGCTGCTCTAAACTCAGATATTCACACTTGCCCGGCAAACCTTTGCCCCACTGAACCATCACCCTCTGAGCTTGTGTCTTGGAGTCCCCAGCTCTTTGGTGTACCCAGAAAAACCTCTATATTCCAGGAAACACTAAACTACCATCTTCTTCCACCAGTGAGTTAAATAACAACCGAGAGTACCAATCATAAAGCGCAGAGATCGAGCTTAAGCTTCCCATACAAGGAAACTAAGGAACACTCCAGCACTGCAGAGAGACATGGGGGCTTCTCACATCTGTCACATTTGGAGTTCATTGCTGAATACCCACCTTAATTTTAATTTAACATCCTTATGTTCTGATTCTTTGCATGGGGTTGTTTTGATGCCCTTGTGAAGTAAGTCTTTTACAACCTTTTTCAAACATATTATTTGTTGAATAAGACTGACACCTGCCTCATGAGACAGTGTTTGTTCATCACTCAGCTTCATGGGGGATCTTTGGGTGCTACTCCCGAAAAGGAAACAATGGGATTAAGACTTCTACCTTACTATGTGGAAAACTGCACCTCTTCCCCATGAGAGGAACAGAAGGCCCTCCTTCCCAGGCCCATAACCCTCTCATGATGCAGGGTTGGCTACAAGATGGTCATTTCTTGGCATGAGTGTTAGCAAGCACAGAACTCAGGAAGGCATAAGGGTCTGGCATGTCTCAAATCAGACTAATGCCAGTGAAGAACAACTAAGACTAGGCTGACTCAATTTACTCCAATTGCTCTCCCTCCATTTCTTCTACTTGCCACCATCTCCTGCTTGCTTGCTTGCTTGCTTGCTTTGGGGTAATTCCAAGGAAATCAGTTTTCCTCACTACTCTGAGTTGAGGCACTGAGAATCACTTTACACAAAGCCTCTCAGTGCAATCCAGGTTAAAGAAAAAAAAAAAAAAAAAAAACCAGGAAGGGACTCAGAGCTGGATGAGGAGTCTCCAGCTCCAATGTCACAGGAGTCATTATACAGTGCTGGCCCTTCCCCTTCACTGTTAATTCCCCATTCGCTTGGCCACCAGGGACAGAGGTTCCTTGCTTCCATAGACTCGTCACAGAGTAGCCAGTGCTCTGAACTGGCTCTGTTAGATAAAACACAAATGTACGTTCTTAAAATCTGAATCTTATGCGGTCATTTCATATAGTCATTTTCTGTTTTATAATCTGTTCTGTTCAGAAATTCTTAGCCAGGGACCTGGGCTCCTACTTCTGAATTCTTGACATTTGCAATAACATTAAACTGGACTGACTCCTTTATAGACATAATCTTAATTCACATAAGCATTGCTTCAACAGCTCATTAATGTAAAGTAATGCAATGGTAACATGAGAGGCAAAGCCAAATACTCTACTAGTTCAGATATATTTCAAAGTCAAAGTTTATTCGGGCTTGAAAAATGGATCAACTACCTTCCCCAAGGAGTGTTCTATGGGAAAGCTGATCTCCTTTTGAAGCCTTCAGTCCCATCATTTACTTTCCCTTGGTATGAATCCAAATTTACTGTGGCAAGAGGATGTATTGCTAGAAAATTCTGAGTGTGGATGGGACAGCAACCACATCTTGGATAATAAGGGCTGGTTATCATCAGGTATTTGGCTGAATTCTGACCTAGAAGAAAGGTTGCTGATTATAGATGAAGAAAAATCTCTTTTTCTTTCTATCTCCTTTTTCTCATGGGAACTTTCTCAGGATAGTTATTCAATTCTTCAAGTTTCTAAAAGTTTTTAATCCTCAACTTGTCCTTACCCTGCAGCCTACTTCTCAGGCTCCTATTGATCAAACTATAAAATGTTCTTACCCTTTCAGGAACCTTTCTAGATGGTGACTTACAGGCCCTCGGGGGGTTTAAGCCTTGCATTCTTTCATCGCGTCTCAACTGACTTAATGTAATTCTAAGAAGTGGTGTAACTAAGGTGCTTGGAGCCTTTGCCGAATTCCATCTCCAAAGCCAGCAGAACTCAGTGGGTATATTTGGGTATGAGAAATGATTTTTACTGAAGTTTTAGATTCACATTCCATAATGTGCTTGTTTAAATACCAAATTCAGTCCTGATATGTTTGTTTTTTCCAGTAGGAGTGGCTCTCAATTCATACCTCAATTAATATACAATTTCCTTTGTCTTGTATCTGAAGTTCTATTTAAGACTAAGCAAACCAAGCCCCAGTAATATTGGTTGTTGTAAGAGGGGCCACAGAAAAGCAATTACTGATGTTATAATGGAAGGTACCTAGCCTTCATGGCTAACATGCTATTGTTATGAAACAGACAACAGGATTGAGCAAGATGTTAGGAAGTTTGAGCAAGATTGAGCAAGTTAGGAAGATGGTATGTGAATGCTATGTTCACTGCTCTGGTCTACAATGAAGTTTTGGGAAAGAACAGAAAACCACAGCCTTAAATAATGTGTGGGGGAGAAGCTTTGATTTCAACCTGAATCCAATCACACAACAGTTTCCAATTATTTATTATTAACAATTATTAATATATCACTAAGCTGACTCCAACTGGCAAGTGATAGGTAAAATGTCTATTCCTACATATAAAATTTCCTTGATGAATCAAAAACAGATGACTCAATTATGCAAAAGGTGTAATTGCCCTTGCACAGAAACAAAGTCACTTCTTGGTAATGAAATCAGAGATCAAGGCTCAGTTTATGTTGAATTAATGTAATAAAAATTCTGGTGGTAGAAGGCTGAAATAACATTTTACTCTACAAGTTACACCTCATCTTAAAATATGCAATGCTATTTATAAAAGAGCTGGTTTCAGATGCCAATTTGTGGTACAGGCTCTAGGTAACAATCTCCCAGGTTTAAGTTTTAGGATACCAAGGCAAATTCGTTCCTATTAGAGTTGGCTACAGCAGCAGCAGGAGCAGCCGCTGACCTAGATAAAGGAGCAATTAAACAGATAAGCAAATGGGGATCTGCTTCGGTTAAATATTAGAGCAGCTGAGGCTTGCATTCTTATTGAAGGAAAAGATACATTAAGCCAAAGTTGTCTGCTCCAGCGATATTTGCATCCAATGCTACCCTCTTTGTTTAATCTAAAAGATGAAAAAAAAAAAAGCTATATGCTATATTGATCACTGTCAGG